TGGTGCACTACAGTCATGGGTAGAATCTCTCTTTGGTCTCGTTGGCCATTGAGATGACCTCTAGTGGAAGCTTACAGTCATATTATTATGAAGGCAACTACATACCATTATAGAGCCGCCGCCGAATGGAACCTGCTCAATGATACCCAAGTCGCCATACCCGTGCTCTCCCACCCGTCTTGTACTCATGAACAAGAGAAAGCAACTCTCATCCGACAAATAAATTCTTCACCTCGACACCATGTTCCATGTGAAGATTTGAGCCGATTACAAACAGTTCTGTAGGATAGGGGTGGTGAGGTAACCTTTAACTTTTCAACAAAATATTTGGCGCAAAAGGTTGGTATCATTCTGTTTTCCGGATTGGCTATTTGGGATCTGTGGAGGTTCATTCGATGGTTTAATTGTTTTATAGATTTTCCGATATATTATTCACAACACCCAGGACAAATCATGCAATAAATGATATATTTGGATTTGCAGTTCATTGATTGTTTTACTGTAAATACCGCAGTATTATTTATCCGAAATGACGACCCTTCAATGATATACTAAGCACTAATTAATACTGCTAATTATTATTAATTGAGCAGATTAAGTTCTATTGTTAATAGTTTATTCAGTTAAAAGTAAATAGAATTAAGGATTATTATTAGTCAAGACGAACATCTACATCAAGTTTAAACATTCTACCCCAATTAGAAGCAAAGTTGTTATGTTCCAAAGTCATGACCAATAAAAATGCTTATTAAAGTAATTAGTAAAGTAATGAGTTCTTAATTTATTAATTACTGTAGGTGATAAGCACTAATTAATACTGCTAATTATTATTAATGGAGCAGATTAAGTTCTACTGTTAATAGTTTATTCAGTTAAAAGTAAATAGAATTAAGGATTATTATTAGTCAAGACGAACATCTACATCAAATTTTAACATTCTGCCCCAATTAGAAGCAGAGTTGTTATGTTCCAAAGTCATGACCAATAAAAATGCTTATTGCTCCTTAGCCTAAGCAGACAATTCTCATCATCGAACTTAGTCAAGGTATTGATGTAATGAAACTATACGTCAAGTTTCATCACTCTCACTTAATTGGAACTAAAGTTATCGTGTCCCACAAAGCATCAACCAATCAAATTGCTTATCTCTACTTACCCTAAGCAGAAAATGCTCATCTTCGAACTCCATCAAGGCATTGACCTAAAAAACACTTACACCAAGTTTCATCACTCACTTAATTGGAACTAAATTTGTCGTGTCCCAAAGCATCAACCAATCAAATTGCTTATCTCTACTTACCCTAAGCAGAAAATTCTCATCTTCACACTCCATCAAGGCAGTGGCCTAATAAACGCCTACAACAAGTTTGAACATTTTAGCTCAATTAGAAGGAGAGTTATTGAGTTCCAAAGTCTCGGCCAATCAAATTGCTTATCGCTCTGCTTACCCTGAGCAGAAAATGCTCATTATCGAACTTACTCAAGGTATTGATGTAATGAAACTATACGCCAAGTTTCATCACTCTCACTTAATTAGAACTAAAATTATCGTGTCCCAAAGCATCAACCAATCAAATTGCTTATCTCTGCTTACCCTAAGCAGAAAATGTTCATCTTCGGACCCCATCAAGGCATTGACCTAATAAACACCTACACCAAGTTTGAACATTCTAGGTCAATTAGAAGGAGAGTTATTGTGTCCCAAAAAGTGTGACGGACAGACAGACGAACCCATTTTAATAGTCCCCTGCTTTCTTCGAAAGGCGGGGGACAATAAAATTTTAATTTGAAAGTGTAAGGTAAAGAATATGATTAAGATATAATCGTATCCAATTAATATTGAAATAAATGTTATAAATTAAGGGTAATGTAATTGTAATTGGTCTAATTAAACAAGAACACTGGTCATTTATGGGATTTATTGTACCCTATCTTAATGCACAGCAACGCTGAACCAGACAGAGGTATTCCAGTATGCAAGAAGAAATGGTTCTAAAGAGGAAATAAAAGAAGTGTTTACGGATCACCAAATTTACAGTGCAAGAAACAATTCTGAACAGGACCTGAAATTATGTAATGTTAGAAACATTTAACTTTTTGACACTGAACAATGTTTTTTTTTTATTGTGTTGGAACCCTATAACCAAGTATTTATATTGACAGTGAAGCAGTGAAATTATATTATTGTAGCATGTTTATCAGTGTAATGCTATTTTAGAATTAGGACTTGAAATTGTAATGGACATATTCAGAGCTTTAAAATATTGATATTGTATTGTATTTAATGCATGTTAGATAACAGCGTTAATTAAGCAACATTGCTTATTTAACGCATTGCAAAGGGGCGCATTATAATACTATATAGGGTTATTTTAGGTCGAAGAAATGTGTTCTGTTTAATATAGAAATCTTTGCCTACATGATGTGTGACGAAAACTAGGGCAATGAAGTAGCTTGCATTATCCTACTACTAACTTAGAGTCTAGACTTAGACTATCTCACCCCCAGTTATGTCAGTACCCATTTCTGGAAAGTATTGTACTATCGTCCAGTCATCTCGGGTACAGATTAGTACAATTAACTAGAATAATGTTGACGTTAAACGGTGCCTATATGAAACACTTAACCAAAAATGGTAATTGTCCCGTCCTAAAAGCTAATGCATTATACTTCTATATATTATAGAGCGGGTTGGATTTATCTTCAGACAATCATTCGGAACTCAAGGGGAACATACCTACAGCGAACACATCATCCTAGCGTGAACCTTATGTAGAACTAACAAGAAGTATGTGGCTCTTGTCACCTTTAAGCCGTTAGGTCTGAGTTAGAAAGGATATTAAACTCAGACCGTGGAGATTTTAATAACTCGAAAAGTAACTATCATAGATATTGTAGTTTCGTATATGTAACCTTTGTAGTTTGTTGTATTCGTTAGATAAACTTAGTAATAACATAAACGGTGTTCCAGAGTAAATTAATTGATGATTGAGATAATTGATCCAACAACGTGAAGTCCCAAGCATGTCCTAGACGATCATCTGTCCCCATAGTGTCACACTGGTTTAGCCGGGTAGTGTTGCTTTTATAGAAAACCTTTAAGCTCATTATTAAGGGGTATTTGTTTGATATCCGATTGTGAAACTATAGTGCACACACGTCTAGCTAAATTATACGGAATATTACGTTTGATATGAGAAAGGTGGCATGAAGTAAAATTGAGATACTGATGTGTGTCTGTCGGTTTATAATACATATCAGTTTCAATTTGACCATTTGGTAAAAGATTCACCGTGACATCGAGAAAGTTTGGTTTTACTTTACTAGATTGAACAGTGAATTTAATGTCGACATCTAAGCTATTCAAGAGTTCGTGGAGTTTGGTGATCGCTGTATCTTTTATATTAAGGACGCACCAACAATCATCCAAAAATCGTTTCCACGATTGCTTAATCATGTCGCTAAAAGTTTTATCGAAGGTTGTGGGTACTTTCTCATACCAAATTTCTTCGAGGTAACCTAATGTTAATGTTGCGTATGTCGGACCAACTTTTGTACCCAATTTTGTTAATGATACATAATTTATGATTATTATCTTATCTTGCATATTATAGCCATTATAGTTCATTGTTGTAACCATGATGTTATTACGTCACATCAGTTGTTGGAATTGGTAAAATTTGCCTGAAGAAGCTTAATAAAGCGGAAAGTACTCGCAGAAACCTAGTTTTTTTTCCTAAAACATCTTTATTTCGAATATATATATATATATATATATATATATATATATATCCAAAATTATTAGCACAACAGTAAAGCTGAACTAATTTGTTTTACGGTAATCGACGAAACTCTGCTAAGAACTAGTCAATAAAATGTGATTCTATTTAGCAGGATATGCAATCAATTAACATTCACAAGGTGCCAGGAGGTTCGCTTGTCCCTCGAAGGGGAAGTTTGTAACGCGCCACCCGGTTATGTTGTTGAATTATTATTTGGTTGGTGCCAGGTTGGCACTTCCCTCTCAGGGGACATTCTATCGCTCCACCAGACTATGTTTGATTTACTGGTCATTTGTTTGAGGTGCCAAGCAGTTATTGTTTCATTTACACCGGACATTTTATTCGATTGCCACAAAATTGCTTTTAAAAGGCAGCGATACTGACCACCATTTATTTTTATTTGTAAAACTGACTCGTTATTTTATTTCACGTTTTTATTTTTAAGAAAGGAACCTCTAGTTCACATAGAACTGGCCTTCTGATGGTAAGGGGGCCGCGATGGCTCAGTAAGGTGCTGGATCGCTAGCCAGGGGGTCTCGTGTTCACTCCTCGAGATCTCAAGCGTGGGGCCCCCTTGTCAGTAGTGCAGGACAGGGGGCCTGCAAAGAGTAATGTCTAATCGTTCGGATGATACGAAAATCCGAGATCCTGTGTATAGGCAACATTTCTCTCATAGTGCATTAATCCCCATTTTATTTGTGATAGTTAGTAGACACGTGGATATTTGTAACAGCCAATACCTCTAGCCGACCTTATCAACTATTTGTAGCAGTTTGATTTATAATATAACAGTAACGACTGTGTGAGTGTTTGATAATTAATATCATATTATAAAACCTGATATAAACTTCCTATACACAATTCAGGATCATTATGTCTATTTCGATTATTCGATGACGTCCCACATTATTTGGCTTTATATCAATATGTTTCATTCCACGTTAGCGGACAGAATTTTGTGATTCCAAAGTTATCTAATGTATAAGCCTATCAACCGTACTTTCATCTAATCGATTCTTACCTACCCCCGAAAGAAAAAAAAAACAAAACAAATAAAAAGGAAACAAACAAACTTGATAAATCCTACGTAAAGCAAGGGGAGATACACGAGATACATGGTGCTGTTATCGTTAAAGCCAATAGACTGTGATTACGAATATCGCATGCATTTGTTGTACAGATTGCCGCCACACAGTAGATTTAACTATTGATGTTTGTCATACGCGCGCGTGGTGTGCTGTATAGATGGATGCGACTCTTTAACATGTAGATTCAACCGACAAGGTAAGGCAACTTTTCATATTTTCTGAAATATAAAATGAAATTGGTATGGACAGTTCGTATAAGCTATTGCTGAAATGAATAGGCCTATAGGAGAAATGCTAAAACAATTTTTGTATAATTTTCATATTTTCTGAAATATAAAATAATATTGGTATGGAAAGTTTCTATTAGTTTTTGTTGAAATTATATAAGATAAATGCTAAAACTAATTCTGGGTATTTTAAAAATGCACGTATAAAATCAGTACTGCCAAATTATGTACAATACATTGAATACGGTACTGTGTAAGATGAAACTCTATATTTTGAAAGCCAAGTCGTTGACAAAAAAACAAAAACAAAAAAAAAACAAAAAATAAAAAAACTTCTGTTTTTAAAGAAGTAAAGAAGAAATCAAGCGCGATTGTTTCTTTTCTGATAAGTCGTTGGCGTCTTTAGATATGATGTTATAAATAAATTGTCATATTTGTTTAGGAGTGAAGCTGTTCCATGTATCAAGGTAGATAAAGAATTTCTATAAAAATAAAGTAAAAACATAAACATACTTCCGTTTTTGAACTCATCTGGTTTTGCTTCTTCGCTCTGATAAATATATTTATAAGCCGTAGGCGCCTTTAGATGATGTTATAAGAAACTGTCAATTTGTTTAGAATTACTATATATCAACTACTGAGAGAGAGAGAGAGAGGGGGGGGGGTTAACGTCTACTCGACCTCGACACAAACTAGGTCATTACGGGACTAATATATGGTTCAATTTTCAATAATTCGTTTGCACGTAGGGGTCTTTAGCAGTGGGAGAAAAGCGGAGGACCCGGAGAAAACCCACGAGGCTGGACAGGCGTACAAATAAAAATACTTCCGTTTAAAACATTCTCCACCGGGTTTCGGTGTGGTGTTATGAGAAAGGATCTAACATACAATATGGCGAGCTTAGGCTTGTTTTTTGTAGACATTTTAAAACAAAACCATATAAAGTAGTGTGTTTGTGTGTTGAACTCTTGTCCGTTTGGTAAGTTGTTTCTGTATGCATACGCTTTCTTTAGTTTACAACCAATTTAATGTGTAGACTCGTAAGTTCGTGAAAAGGATAGCAATTAGGGCATTGGCGTATCCGTCTTCCCTTCATTCAATTCCAACTACCAAGGGCTCTTTTACGCCAACGAATACACCGGTGGGCGACCGTGATTTTCGTCCCATCATAACGACTAGACGCTTTGCCAAGACGTCCGTACTGCGCTGTAAAAGTATGACTGTTACACGTACAAAAGTAGAGATCCGTATGTATCTAGATAACGGTGTGCACATGTCACAGAACAATTCTATGGAATACATGCTGTTTATTACTGAGTGAACCCTAGTCCAAAAGTCGCTCAGTAATAAACAGAAATTGTATCCCATAGAATTCTTATCTGCATTTTCACTATTTTCAGTTCAATTACTAAATGCTATTGAAACAATTTATAACAGGGCGGTCGAATTCGAAGTTTGAATAAAAGCTCAGCCAATTAGGCTAATATAGGCGCGTATACGCCATTATACAGCGCTCAATAAGAAAAACATTTGCATTATCAGTGGCGTTTCCGCCTACTCTTAATCGAGTTTAATCCCGAGGAACTTTCTCAAGTCTCAACCAACACCAGGATCGAACACGGAACCCACTAATGAGGATCAATGACTAATATCAGTGTTAGTCATCATCAGGTTCCTTGGTGACACTGCATATTATAATACATTTTGTACGGTTTGGTAGATGAAATCTACAATTTTTGAAAGTTATGCAGTGATAAGACATCATCTTCTATGTATAAGTGAAATTAAACTAGTTTTCTATTTCGTTTTACCGGAACTTGACAGGGGCGTGTCCTGAAATTTGGGCAGGGTAGTGTCAGGAGTGGAGACAGCGTCAAGTTTTGGGTGAGATCTGGCGGATTATTCGAGAAATTAATAAAATCAGAAGCTTTGAGGAAATATATCTGCTCATTTAGCTGCATACATGGATAGGTTTTGAGTGGAGTTAGGCCAAAATGGCGGCAATGCTTCGCACATTTGTTTGTTCAACGTTAAAGAATGACATTTTGGTAGGAAAGCAACATTTCTCCAAATTCAAATCCACACTAAGAATTTTTAATTTTAATTTAAATGTATATGGTAAAAGTAGGTATCAATTAATCATCTCAGAATCTATTTTTGACCCAAATCAAAGAAGGGGCCTTGGAATTGCCGGACTTTAAATATCCAAGCACTAACTTACTTATAGTAACGTTTTATTTTGCACGAGCTTTCGTTAAAACCACTAAAATATTGACAAATTTGTCTCAAGTCTTACAATCTAATTTGAACACTCCGGATGGTGTCTGCACTATCAGATCAAATGAACTATACCGACAAAGAACACCAAAGCGTAAATTTCGCTTTCATTTGTTATGTGGAAAATAGAAAAAGTGAATGGTAAATCCAGCAGTTTTTTTTAAATTAGAAAGAATATGTGATTGATGCCGTTGCAAGAATAGATCAATCCGCCTATATTGTAAGAACTGGAATTGATATATTTGTCATAATGTATGGAAGAAATTCGGTTTGGGTTTCTTTGAACATTTACAAATCGAAATCATGTAAGTTTATATTTGATTGGGATGTGTCTTTACAAACGGGCGAAGTACCGGAAAGGAGAACATTTTCAAACATTTTTAAATGGTCCTTTTATCAAAAGAAAGCGGGGGTTGAACAAGATGTTCGTTGTGTCATTTGTTTGACATAATTAACTAATAAAAAAACAGATGAGACATAATTCTTTCTGGTTAAAAACACACGTCTCTTTATCATCCCTGTACAGTCAATCTGGTTTATTATTTTTTTTTTTATTAAATCCACCCCACTTTTAAAAGCTTTCATATTATACAAATCTTCTTAATGGTCTTAAGACGACAATAGATATTGATGAAAATGGAAGGTTAATTGCGGATGTTGAAGTTGTTGCATAGTTAAGATGTTTTCTATCTGAGAAGTATCCATTTGTCACCAACCTTTGTATCGAAAATATATTTCAACACGGTGTTTACTGTGCTTTTTATTTTACGGGGGACAATAACAGGAGGAATTTGGTTAATAAGCATCTATAAATATCCATGGCGTCAATTACCGAATTGCTGTGTAAATCGCAGCAGAGCAGGATCGAATTGATTTCATGGAAATTCGTAGGCGATCGATGGCCTTTTCCAATACACAACTTAAAGTGCACATAAGATGGGTTTGGGAACTTTTGGATATGTGTAGCCAATGGTTACTATATCAACTTTACGGCAAGTTCACACCAATCTGATTGAAATTAATTCAGTTATCTTCACTTAAAGTCATAAAAATGGACCTCCCGTGAAAACGACTTTGCCAATTATCGAAAACACTCTTAATCCCCTCAGACGCCAGTGACGTCACAGTGACCGAATGTTTATTCCTTAATTACCTATATACAGCCGGCGCGTGTACTCATTAACGCCTGACTGATTCCTTAATCTCCCTTAGTTCTTAATTAAATAAAAAAAAATTGACTACGGAATAATTCGTTTTGTAATTCATTTTAATTTAAGATCCAATTTAGATTGCCTACAACTTTTAAACTTTGAAGTCTTGAACTCTTAATTAATTTTTTACAATATGGAACTTATTGGACGAACACTTTTAATATGTAAATAATATACCGGTCCAGCTATGTGTTTTTTACTGCGAGCACTTCGCTTTTCCACATAAAGTGTAGTGTCGTTAATATTTGTCATTAATTAATCAATCCGACTATAAAAGTTATACAGGCATGGGTCATAAATTACACGTCGGTGTTAGCAGTGAGTGTTAGTGGGATTAAGAATGTTGATTAGGTAATTATCTTTTTTTACGCCGGCCTTATCAAAAACATCATTCTAAGTGGAACGTGTGCATAATACCTCATGAACGAACTAATGGTAGAATCGTGCACCCACACATTAATTGTATAAAATCATTAAGTTTTACTCATCAGTTGTTTATAATTATTATTTACCGAATAATAATTGCTCACCAGTGTTTTGTAATCAAATAGCCTCGTATTATTTGTTGATTGGCTTTTAAACAACAATCGTTTATCTTCTTTTTAATAAAAGTATTTTACAATTGCATTGACAGTTTAATCACTCACCAAACGGCACCAGGAACTCCACGTATGATCCCGTGCAATTTTCGTGCAGAAGTTTAACCTCATTTACTACACCCGTAGTACATGTAACCGTAAATGGTAATAAGATTCCCAGCGTTGATTGGCTGAGAAATGAGGGCGATCTATTATACATGTTATGCATAGTCATCGGAAAATTCCATATTCACTGTAAATTTCAAATGGAGTTACGATAAAAGTTGTTCTTTATGTATAGATTATTATTATATATAGCTAATAATGAATATATCGACAAATGACTGGCGCCATTTGTATTTCTGTACTAAAGTTTGGTATATCAAGTATTACGGGGTTATCCAAATTACCGGTAAATGCGCTAATTTCTTGAGTCGTCTTCATTTGACACGTGGCCTATTTCAACAAAGGCAGCTTAAATGGATTTACGGCATGATACGGCATTTGAAATTCACTCTAAAATATTCCAATCACAAATGAAAGACGATAATTCGGCGATTATGATTAGGCCAGTCACGTGGTAATTGGACCGTCAACAGACGCTTGTCAACTTGCCGTGTGTATTGATAGTGCTATATTGTACAGACGGTGAGATATTGTATAGATAATGTATATCCTATGTGTAGTGCCTGTGACGTCACCAGCCAATCAACGGATTAAGGTCGTAATTGAAAAATTGAAAAGCGTTTTGGCGTGTCGGACACTTAAACGTTAACAGCCGACTCAATTTTAATCAGATTGGTGAGAAGTTGCCGTAAAGTTGATATAGTAACCATGTGCTATACGTACATGTAATTTAGATTTTTGATCTTACGTGGTCTTTAACATTCTTCAGGAGTTCCA